ACTCTACCACTTTTTTGCTAGAATGACAAGAGTATAGCCTTTTTCTACCTCCTTTTATCTACGTATACCCCTTCCCTGAAGTCTCTCCCTTCTGCTAAGCATCTCAAACTTCATACGTGAGCCTTCGGTTACAAGGAATAACCTAAGAAGGCGCTGCTCTTACATGGAGGTACATGTACACTGCCACGCTCCCCCGCTCTTTTAGTCATACTACCTACCGAAGCATAGGAGGGGGTTAGAGAGAAAACGCCCACATTCGGGAGAGAGAGAGAGAGAGAGATGGAGAGAGAGAGAGAGAGAGAGAGAGAGAGAGAGAGAGAGAGAGAGAGAGAGAGAGAGAGAGAGAGAGAGAGAGAACAATTAATTGTGAATGGAGTTATTGGTGGGAGGGAGGGTTGTGTGTGTTTTTGTTTTTTTTTACTTTTCTTTTTTCTTTTTTTTTTTTTTTTTGGGGGGGGGGGTTGTTTTAACTAACCTATTTATTTCACCCATATTCAATTGGTAACCTAACCCTCGGAGTTTGCTTCCTTTGCTCGGCTCTATAGGTTTTTGTTTTGTTTTTGTTAGTTTGTTGTTGTTTTTGGGGGTGGGGTTGTTTTGATGTTGTTTTTTTTTTTTTGGGGGGGGGGGGAATGTTATGTGTTGTTTTTTTGTTTTTTGTTTGCTGTGTGTGTGTGGGGGGGGGGGGGTCAGTAGTCTTCTTCTTCTTCTTCTTCTTTTTTTTTTTTGGTTTGTTTCTTTTTTTGGTGGAAAAAAGGGGGGGGGGAGTGTCTAACTACGTAACTCATGAATATAAGACGAATGTCGACTTTGAATCTACCCACCAGGGGCCGTGCTACTGACTAAAGTGTCTTTAGGCCTTTCCTATAGGGGGGACATTAACCATGTTCTTATGCACAGTAGGATTGTAATTGCAAATGGGTTGATTCATAGATGTCATGCTCATGACTGTGCCGGAACTGCAACAGGGAACTGCTGTTTTTTCTTTCCTCATCTTCACTATCGTCATTTTCCTCTACTTCTTTCGTATTTTTGTCATACTCTAGTTGGGTGCCTTGATAGTCGAAACAGACTGTTGAAGCTAGAGAGGTGAGCAGATTAAGCCTGATTCCCGGTGAAGACTTCTCTGTTGGCATCCACTCCTTGACGCTCATATGACCTTATGCAGTTGCGAGCGCCGAACAATCTCTATTAAAACAAAGAAACGACTTTGAATCATAGATTATCTTATTTCTAAAAATTATATATTGTGGGAGGTAAAACATTGAGTGTCATAGGCGATAATATAATATAGATAAGATAATATATTAAGATACTTCCATATAAATTGTCCAGATCTTGGCACACTGGTTTGGTGTTTCGACACGTACACACATATGCACACACACACACACAAACACACACACACACACACACACACACACACACACACACACACGCACACACACGCACACATACATAGACGCACACACACACACTCGCACAAACACACATACACACGCAGACATGAACGCACGCGCAGGCTTACAGTCTATTGCACAATATAAATGAACAATAAACAATGATAATGTTAAGCTAGATCCATGCTCAGTATTCTGAAAATATACTCAGTATTCTAAAAATATACTCAGCATTCGGAAAATACACTCAGTTTTCTGAAAATACACTCAGTATTCTGAAAATTTACTCTGTATTCTGAAAATAAACTCTGTATTCTGATATTATACTCAGTATTCCGTATATGGTAAAAACAGATGGACAAACACATTATGGGCAACAACTGACCCGGTATAGCAGGCAGGTGGATCCTGACCCCTGAAGCTGTGACGTTCTGTACCTCTCCGTTCACGTCGAGGACTGCCACAAAGGCGTCCAGGGTATCAGCGGCGTCCGAGTTGATCTGCGGGGAGATGTTTTATTTATTTTTGGGGGAATTGGACGGGGCGCCTGCAGAATTTCAAGACTTAGTGGGATGAGCAGAAGGCTATAGAATCAACCATTGCTTGGAACCGTCAGCATCTACACACTTCGAGATGTGCTTATGGGGATGTCCCTTGCGCAGTGATGTCTGTCCTTCACACAAGTAAAACAAGTTATTTGTTTGTTTGTTGTTTTTCGTTGGGGTTTTTTTGGGGGGTGGGGGTAGAGGGCGAGAGGGGGGAGAGTGGTAGAGAGGGAGAGGGAGTTGGGGATGAGAGGGAGAGAAGGGGGAGGCGTGAGAAGGAAAGAGAAAATGGGGGTAGATGCTGATAAGGAGAGGTGAGAGATGGCAATTTAAGGGGTGGGAAGAGGGGGAAGGAGGGAGGGAGAGGGAGTTAGAGATGATAGGGAGAGGGGTGGAGAGAGAGAGAGAGAGACAGAGACAGAGGGGGGGGTGGATGGAGAATGAGAAAGAAAGAGAGAAGCTGAGGATCTAAAGAG